ATTAGGAAGAGTGAGGCCAGCAGGTCGAGGGAGATTATCCTCCCCCTCTACTCTGCGCTAGTGATGCCACATCTGGAGTCCTGTGTCCAGTTCTGGGCTCCTCAGTTCAAGAAAGACGAGGAACCACTACAGAGAGTCCAGCTGAGGGCAAGGAAGATGATGAGGGGGACTGAAGCATCTCCCTTAGGAGGAAAGGTTGAGAGAACTGGGTCTGTTCAGCCTGGAGAAGAGAAGACTGAGAGGGGATCTGATCAATACTTATAAATACCTTAAGGGTGGATGTCAAGAGGATGGGGCCAGGCTTTTTCCAGTGGAACCCAGTGACAGGTTAAGGGGCAATGGGCACAAACTAAAACTCAGGAAATTCCATCTGGAGCACTAGAACAGGCTGCCCAGAGAGGTTGTGGAGTCTCCTTCTCTCTAGAGATACTGAAAACCCGCCTGGATGCAATCCTGTGCAACTTGCTGTAGGTGAACCTGCTTTGGCCGGAGGGATTGAACGGGATGATCTCCAAAGGTCCCTTCCAACTCTGAGAATTCTGTGAATGCACCAACACATACGGCAGCAGTTATTTCTTTGTAGAACGTATAGAAAACAAAGACAAGGAGAAAGATACCTGTTGACTGACCATTTCAATAAATTCTATTTTTTGCCAAAGGGAGTGGTTGGCAAACTGGCATACATTTGTGATTTTTTTTCTCTTTTTTTCCTAAAAGCATAAGGTAAGTACATGTTAATGCATAAGCAGACTATCTGACGTTGGAGTCAGCCTGCCTCATGATATCTTCACCTGAAAAGTTTTAAAATAAATTGTATCCTTGTCCTTTGATACCATCTCATTTTTTATAAAAATGTTTTTGCTCTTCTAAAATACTTTTGAGAGGACCACCTGCCTGGTTTGGGGGGAGCAGGTTGTGTTTTACTGCAGAACTGGAGAAGCCCTTTGGAAGTCTAAAAGGTTTACAGGACATGAGATCATTTCTTGTCCAGATTGCTAAGCGTTCTGCTTTCTGGTTATGAGCTTCCGTGTCAGCTATGTTCCAGACAAACCATTTCCCTCTGCAGCAGAGTTTTTTTTTTGTGAGCACAGTTCTTTCATAAATGGTTGGATTTAGCTTCTAGAACTTAGTCCCATACTCGCTAAGAATGACTGCTTCTCCCATCGCTTTCAGAACTAAGTACAAAATTTAATTATTTGAATTCAACTGTGCTTCAATAAATGTTTCTTGTGCACAGAGCCATCCTACTGCATATTCACACATACTAATATAAACAAAAAAGCATAAGCTAGCAAAGCCTACACATGCATCCAAATATTTTTCCGTGCAGCATGTAAAAAGAGGAAGAAAGAAAAAGGTCATTCTTTCCATATTCACAGTAGGTGAACTCTTGACATCACTCATTTCAGTGGCCATAGATTTTCCCATGGAAAATGGCTGTAAAAACTGAGCTAAAGACAGCTACTCTAAGCCTATCAGCACAGTCACTGCTGAGTTTTTTAATGCTGGTAATTCTTCCACTGATGTGAATAGTTACAAAAAATTATTTCTCCCCCATTAGGTATTGCTTGGTTAATTGCATAGTCGTGAGAGCAGAGGCTATATGTGATTTTAATGAGGGTACAGTACAGAAATGAATGGGAACTAGTACTTTAAAGCAAGAATTTTCTGAGTTATAATGTATTTATAGATTCACTGGATTTGTTATTACTCGAGCTGTTCACAGTGATGTGATTTCACTAGCAACTAATGTGTTTCAGCCATTTCCTGGGGGAAATGGTTGGGGGCTCTCTGGTCAAGGGCTGTGAAATCTTCCCCTTTCAGGACTCAGTGTTGGCCTGGAGCAGCGTGGTGCATTGAACACAATACCACCTAACAGGTCATCGCTGGTCTCTAATCACTCTGCTCTAAACAATTATTTTCTCTCTCAGTTTCCTTTATTAGGAGGATGAGCAGAAGCCTGGGGTGAAACTTGGCATGTCTCTCTTAGTACTTGCTCATCTTTGAGAGACTCCTTCTCACATTGCAGTCTAGGGTGCACTAGTGAAAGCATATGTAAGAAAGTTGTTTGCCGTACCAGTTCTGTTGATTGAGCAGTAAATTGATTGAAAGTAAATGTTCAGGAAAGATAATTTCAGGTCTGTGAAGGCTTAAAATTTTATTGAGATCCTTACAATATGTGATGGGAAGTGGACAGGTTTTTGTGTTTTGTTTTTACCTTGAATACCCTACTCCTGCATTAAATAAGTACATAAAAGTCTCTTCTTATTTAGAAAGATGTATTATGAGCTTAATATGTACTCAGTTTTTTAAACTTATGATTTTAGATTGGTTGGTGTTTTTGATGACTTGGAGTGGCAGTTTTACAGTGATGCCTGGCAAGGGCTCACGAGAATATGTTCACATTACTCCATGTGAATTTTATTCAGGATTGTCTTCTATCTGTTTTAAGACTATTTGCATGAATCTACAATAGTAAACTTGCAGTCCTACTGTGGTTTACATTATACTTGCTTGGCAGGGTCTTCAATTTTCCTTTAATATTCAATTTCTTCACTTTGCAGTGTGTGCCTCTGAAACAACCTACCTATTCACAAACATAATCCATTTCCAATTATTTTTACAGTGTTTCCTGTAAGCTCTTAAGTTTTCCTCTGATGTTGTTCTCTACATTTTGAAATATTTATTGTGTTAATTTTATGTCCATAGAGCAGAGGAAATTCTAGTTATGGCCCAGGAGGAACTTTACAGAGCTTGTTTTGATCGTTTTAGAAAACTGTTAGCTCTCCATATACAAAATAATAATCAGTTCGAATTTTCCTACTTACTGATAACATCACTGGGCATTTGGGGGTCAGCTCTGCAGTGTTTTTCAAGTCTAAGTAGCATTTATTAGCTTGCCTTGGCGTACAGTGCTAGGAGATAATACAGAATCGTAATTTCTGCCATTCAGCTGAATAAGAAGCAGTGGCCAGCAGGGCTTGCTGAATAACAAATATGAATAGCTCAGACAATGAGTAAGATTTTATAAAATGAATTTCAAATAAATCTTAAAACCAAAGTTGTGTTAAAAGAAAAAAAGCAGACCAATTCCTCACCAGACAAGACACACAATGTAGTTTCTCACTGTAAACGTGAAGGTGCCGATGACTGATACTGGTGACTAAGTGAAAAATCTAATGGTGTTTTCTTTGCTTGTTCACATAATACATTACTCCCTGGAGACAAGTAAACATTTGGAAATTTTGGAAGTTTTTCTTAGATGAAAATTAGTAGCTTCTGTGGCAACTGCTACCTAGATAATATATTTGGAAGTGATGCTATAGTATGAAATAAGTAGCATGAAGTAATGCAATTGTATATGCCTTCATGTTATGAGAAGGCATTGATTAAAGATGGTGCATCTTTTTTTATTTCATACATCACTAGTCAACTTCTGGAGGTAGTACTCTAGAAACAGAACTGTTATTCTTTTTAGACAACCTATGTGGTAGACAAGTCCTCCTCTATAACGTCCATCCTTGATAAGATGATGGTCAAATTAATCAATCAAATGTTTTGTCTTGACTTCCAGAAGCATGAGTGTATTTAAGATCAAGGTTGAAATCAGTCATTTATGATTGTCTGCCAACCTTTATTATTGCTTATTGCCAACGACATGCCCATACAGAAAAATTAAGGTATGAATTTTGACTTAGGAAGGAGTTTGTTCTGGCTTACATGTGTCCAGAGCAACGGCAGTAGCAATGAAGGCACAAGCATGTCTAGCTTAAGGAAGGGCCAGAAACCAGGCTAAGTCCCTAGGCAGTTTTTGTGCTCGATGCTGCACCTAAAACCTGAGTTTTAAGTATTGTCAAAGGCTGCAGTGTGTAGTGTAGAGATAACAGAGAAGTTAAAGTAGCTCATGTAAATAGGTATTCAGTGCTGTACAGGCTTCTACAGTCAGAAATGAAAGCTTCGCATCCTTCACAGAGCACTGTGCTGCCCCCACTGCATAAAGTCTTTCCATGATATAACCCCGTCCTCGTTTTGCAGTGTAGGGGCACCATAAAGGCTGACAGGAGGGTGAGGCACTTGTCATGATGCTTTTAACTGAACAGGCACAAGTATTCATCACATTGTAAAATTCTGAAATCATTCTTCATTATCTTATTCTTTCCTGCTGCTGCTTGTGTTAGGGCTTCAACCTGTAAAAGCACTTAGTCAGTTTTAAGCTGAAGATGCTGAAAGAAAAAATGCACTGCCAACAAAAGCAAGATCGCTGTTGTTGGGCAGGGGGTTGGTTTGGTTTGGTTTCATTTGGTTTAGGCTGGGTTTTTTTTTTTTAATGTCTCTATGTCTATAGCCTTGCACTCACTAGGAAAATGATTATGATTCTTTTCCTCCTGGTGTTCCCGAATAGTCATGGAAGGCCATGGGATCTCTTTCTGTCCTGTTGCTTATTGAGCAGTCTTTGAAACAACTAAAACGCTGCTGTTTTCTAAAATCTGAAGGACTAAGAAGGCCTCCATGGCTTCAACTTGAACTCCCAGTGGTACCTAAATGTTTAAGATGTATAAGAAGAGTACAGATACACCTAAAGAGTGGAAGCCTGTGACAAGACTGCGCTTACCCTCAGGAGTAGCAATCAGATTTAGAGGAGGTGTGGAAAATAAAAATTTAGAGCTCACTCTAAGAGCTGTCAAATAACTGATATTGTAGTATCAATAGCTAACAAACATACCTCTAAGAGGTGTTAGAACTGCACGTCCACATGCGTTGCATCACCTTTGTGGTTACTTTCCTGTGGGGATCATCTTCTGAAGGATGAGGAGTGGAGGGAAGTTACGCACATAGCTACAGTTTTAGATTTATTGCAGTCTAGCTTTCTTGTCAAACTCCTTAGGGGCAGAAAATGAGTTGTAAATGAGATTGGGCTATTTATGCTTTATGTAAATTTCAGGAAGTTAAGTAGTGAATCAAACTAATGTTGTCCTTAGCTTGAATATGTTTATCTCATCATGAACAGGAGTTCAGATATGACTGCTCAGGAAGAGGTAAGTGTTTTCTTGTAGGAAATGTAGAAAATGTGTTAAGATTCTATAGTTTAGTTGTGAGCAAACTTTTTTTTGACAAATGAAAACAAATTAAATACTTTCACAAAGTTAAGAAGTCTAACAACAGCTTCTACAACAGTCTAAGTTTTATGACTGATAAAATCACAGTAAGTTTTGAGATTGCCTGGAAAACTGCCATGCTGTTTCCATCATACCTAAAAGATGATAACTTCTACAACAGTCTATGTTTCATGACTGATAAAATCAGAGTAAGTTTGGAGATTGCCTGGAAAACTGCCGTGCTGTTTCCATCATACCTAAAAGATGATAGTAACAAGTGAAAAGATGTCACCAGGTGAGGTAAGCAAAAGATGATATGCAGAGAGTGCAAGTGCATTTTTTTTTTTACTACTAGTGGGTTTGTTTGGTTTTGTTTTTTTTTTTACTTTTCTGATAACAAATGCAAGGAAGTTTTTTGTTTGTGTGTTTTTATGTATAAAACATGTATGCTTTCTGTAATAGCCCTTTTCTCCCCTTTTCTTTTTCCAGAGTCAAGATGACAGATTTGCTTTCACTGCTGAATGGTATGACCCAAATGCTTCACTCTTTCGGCGTTATGAACTTCTGTATTATCCAAAAGATGGATCAGTTGAAATGGTAAGAATAAAAGGAAAAAATCTATTGTCGTAAGTGTAATACCCAGTTAAACAGTTCGTAAAATGGCAAGCCACTGCCTATGCCTATTAATTTTCTTAATACCTTGCTCTATTTCTAAAACTAAAAGAAAAGTGAAAGTACAAGTTCACAGTGAAGCATGTGAAAGAGCTTACATGTTTAAGATTTTTTTTTTCTTAAAGCTTGCTTTGGTGTGGAGAGGTTTGTTTTCACAAATCTGTTTTACTTCAATCTCTACTTGGGTTTCAGAATTGAAACTCAGCAACAGTGACCTACTGCTTGAGAAACATAAGTTGAATGATGCCAAACAGGAATTCCAGAAGAATCTGAAGAGTAAAATGGAGAGGAGCCTTATCAAAGTAGAAGAAATCGTAAATTGCTCTTAATTTGGTTTTAATGAAAGGAAGGATGTTTCAGATGGTGGGATCTAAATTTTTCCATCAGTGATGCTTGCACACACCTTTCTGACTTGTGTTTCATACAACTAATCCCTATTGTTTATTCATAGCAAGTTAAAACAAGCATTTTTCAGTAGCAGGCGTACATATAAAAGTGTAATATGTACTGTAAAGATAATCCTGATAAACCAACCAATGCTTTGTGCTTCCTTTTAGGAATGACTGAATGGATTGGACTAACCTTTTCTGATTTTTAATAAAGGCCTAAGGGTCTGAGAATAGCCTAGATTTGGATATTCACACTTAGTAATTTCATTATCAAATTTTAGTTTTCCTGCTATGAATATCAAATGCAGAAATAAGAAAGCTAGCAGAATCTGCCTTTTCTTTCCCAAACTACTGCTCACTGAAACCATGGTACCCACTTGAGTGAGGAGATGCGCTTTGCACTTTTTACTGATAGTCTCTTTAAACAAACTCTGTCATTATGTTGTCCCTTTTAAGTTAGTTCTTGGTATGATGTCTATGTGTGCACAGTTGTCAAAATGTGAGGAATTTTATTTTTTATTTCCCAGAGACAGTTTAGCTAATCAGTCAGGAGTCGTAATAATCTTCCTACACAGCCATGTGTAGGCTGGCGAAATTGTTGTTCATTTCACCTAGACGTCTCAAAACCAAGAGCTTTCAAGGTGTTTTTGAGCTTCTTAACACATTCAGGATCAAATACCTATGGCTTGGTAGACTTTTGCATTTTACTGGTGTGCTCTTACGTTAAGATAGCATGGGGTGTACACAGTCATGAGTGTGTAGGGACTGTGTGTGATCAGGACAGGAGTTAAAAAAGAAAAAATGCATATAATACTTCTACAGGAAGAGTATCTCAAAATCACTTTTGGGGTGAGTCTGTGGACAGAGATTAAATGTAGAATTCTCTTCTGGATTTATTTTTTTTTTTAAATTTCTACAGAATTTGGTAATTCTTTCTTTATTACTGCCTAATTCTTCTGCATCTTTTGGTATCTTCCTAAGGATATGACAGCCCACTCTTACATCTAACACATCTGAGGAGAACAGAAGTAATGGAAATGAACCAGCTTCTCCCTGCTTATGAGAAAAATATTTCATCCCCTTTCCCCCCTCCCTGATAATAGCTCTCCTTTATCACACACCTCAGCTGAGGGTGGAACAGAGCTGTTGAAGGCCTGTGTTATGTGAAGTCCTCAGCTTTCCTTTTCTTTCTTAGTCCTTCATGTCTTGATTCTTGTGAAGAAAAATGACAGTGGGAATAATCAGACAAGTTTCCAGCTTGCTTTGCAGCTGGAAGAAGACAGCATAGGTTTTTGTCCAAGGACAACGAGCAGCTCTTATGATCAAACTGGATCTCTTGAAAAGAGATGCCTTATTCTCAGAATTTTCCATAGTTAATATCTCATGGGGAATTCTTAAAGCCTGAACAACTTTTCTTTCTACAGGAGATTTTCTAAAAAGAGAAGAAGTGTTTAAAAAGGACAGATTCTTGGCAGAGAACTATTTTGTTTTGGGTAATTTACTTCTACATATACATGGGCAGGAGGGGAACAGTCCAAGCAGTCTTATGTTTCTTCTGCTGTGGCTTATCATTTACTTTGTAAAAAGGTGTTTTAAACAGATCCAAAATTCCACTCTAAAGAAGAATTCTTTAACATAGGTAGATGTTCCCCTCCCTTCCCCCTTTATCTTCTGCTTAAGAAGAGAGAAACAGCTTGAGTTGCCTTTCTAGCAACCAAGGAAATGTTCAGATCTTTAGTCAAGACATTGAAGAATTTGAATATGGTCAAGACAGCTAATAGGCTTCCTGGCAAAGTCCAGGAAAAAAACAAGTAGCTGAATTCAAGTGAATTTTCCATGCCCC